GGGGGGGAAGGGAGGGAAATGCATGGGACTATGGTGGTGGCACACGGGTGATTTGGTGATGGGAAACCCGCGGGGATTACAATTGAGATGGAAAAAAAAATGTGCAAAATGATGTAAAAATAAACTTTTGTAATAATTAAAAAAAAAAGATGTATTTATGCATACAGAATTGGGGTACAGGTGAGAGATGTGGGGAGTGAGAGGATTCACTAGACAGTGGGAAGCAGAAAAGGCACATGTACTAAAATACACTGCTGAGGGGAGCAGTCAGGAGAGATCTGCCACACCATGTGGGTCACCTTCCTGGCTGGGGATTGAACTCACGCTGCAGTGGCTACTGGAGCTTCGTAGTGCTGGGCTTTTACCTGTTGTGCCACCAGGGAGGGCCCTTCCCTTTGGAATTTTCCCCTTTGTCACTTGTGTAGCTTTCTAGGAGAAGATTGCTAAATTTTGCTATATGCAATGCTTGTAATGATAGAGTCTTGCTAAATAGAGGTTCTTTGGAGTATATCAAGCAAACAAACAAAAAAAGACCCTCTTCTTTGTTGCAAAAGAGGCTAAAAGTAGGGGAGGAGTAATAGGAAGAATATGTCCTGATGTTAAAAAAAATATATGAATGTTATTTTCAAAATCATAAATGAGTGAAAATATAAATTAAAGAGACAAAATACACTCAACTAGATCTAATGACATACCTTTGATCATATTGTAAATGGCCATAAAATATGCCCTACTGGTTTTAAGATTTAATTTGATTTGAAGGCTGATGGCAAGCATGACTGATACTGTGAACTGTCACATAAAATTATATAAAATGATAATTAGATATTTTCCAAATGATTAAAGATAAGTATATTTAAATAAGGATACAGTGTACATTAAAAACCTCATCTCATACTCAGAAGCAACAATAAAAAGAGAATAGCAAAAACAACCACAAATTGAAATGAATTATTAATTGTGTTCAACAGTGCTACTACACAGTTAAGAGTATTGCTCAACAAAGTTAGTTTACTACTGTATACAAACTATGTGCAGCATAAAATGAATGATTTGGGTCCCTGCAAAAAGACAATTTGAAAGGACTTTAAAACACCAGAGAAGGGCAATTTAAATAAGAGAATTTAGGTAGTTAGAAAATATAGTAAAAGAAGACAACTAAGGTTTTATGATTTCTTAATTCAGAATAAAAGTCAGAAAAGGAATGTCTGAAGACCATAAATTAATATGGATAAAAAACAAGCATCAACACAGATTTTACACTAGATTCCTATTTGTCAAGAATGGACCCAGACACCCATGAATGCACAAAAATGCACCCATGATTAGATAAGTTTAAGCACGTTCATACATTGAATAAACACTTCAATTTTTTCTGCTGGACATATTAATGACATAAAACTTTTTAAACAACCCTGAGCTTTAAGGAGCTCCCAGATTGACAGAAGTCAACAACTTAGTATCATGGAAAAGTTGCTATGGAATATATGGGGGAGAGTGAAATATTCTGTCCAAAGGTTATCCAAAAATAATGCTTGAATTAATTTCTGACTAGGAGTTTTTGTAAGAATGTGGAAGAAGGTTAACTCAGGAAGAACATGCAGTGTGTGCAGAGATTTAAGAGTCACAGTTTAGAGAACCGCAAATCGTTTTCCACATGAATTAAATGTGACTCTTCAAAAGAAAAACAATGTCATGGTGGGACTTTATAAAATATGTGTGTATATATATATATATCATATAGATCACTCACACATGTTACTGAGTTTGACACTTAATATGAGTATGATGGAAAGCAAAAGGATTTTTTTTAAAAGATTTATTTATTTATACATGTAAGAATTATAGGCCTGGCCCTCCCTGGTGGCGCAGCGGGTTAAAGCACAGCACTGAGAAGCTAAAGCCACTTCCGCATGAGTTTGATTCCCACCTGCCCCGGAGGAGACCACATGGCGTGGCAGACCTCTCCTGACCCAGTCGCTGCTCCCCTCAGCAGTCGATCTGCCTGTTCTGCTCCCCACTGTCTCTGGTGAAGCCTCTCACTGCCCCTGCACCTCTGGCCTGTATCCCAGTTCTGTATGCATAAATAAATAAATCTTAAAAAAAAATATATATATATACAGAATTATAAGCCATGGGGAAGGTGGTGAGAGTATTCACCAGAGACAGAGTGGGAGCAGAACAAACAGATCTACTGAAACAGATACACTGCTGAGGGCAGCAGTGGGCAAAACAGGAGAGGTCTGCTGCATCATGTGCGTTAACTCCCTCACACTATTGTGAAGCATTTAGTATTGAGGCTTTCACCTCTGCACCACCAAGAAATCCCAAAAGCTAAAGGATTTTAAGCTAAAAGTCACATGATTAAATTTGCCTTACAGAAAAGATCTATTTTACTGCTGTGTAGAAGAAGCAATAAAAGAAAAGGAAACAGATGGGGAGACCTAATGAACAGTTACTAATTTTTCTGGACAAAGACGCTAAACACTTGATTAAAATCACAGAGAAGGCTAAGGGCATAAGATTTGAAGATTTCCAGGGAGGGGAAAAACACAGCTTGATGATAAAATACTATGTTGAATTTATTATGAGAAATGCTATACATATAGTCTTTCTTACTTAACCATAACATGAACAACAAAATTATTTTGAAGAAGCACACCTAAATTGGTTAAGGAGTATGTATGACCTGGATTGCTTTCTCACAAAGACTAAGTAACTGAAGGTCTATAAAATACATTAAAATTTAAGTCCTTTTCACTTTGGAAATACTAACATTAATTTACTCCTCTATTTTATGAATTAAATAACTAAAACTTAAAAAAACTACGGTACATTATAAGTTAAAGTATAATGAAAGTTATCATGATTTTCATAGAAGTTACCTGATGTTGAAGACAAAGATTACAAAAGAATGATATGAAAAACAGTTCAGTACTTATTATTATTGTAAATAGTAATTATTATATTGAGTAGCAATTCTACTTCACAACCTGTGTCTAAATATCTTCATGATAGTGAGTCTGAAAATGGGAATATAATAATGGACATAATAATGGGAATATAATAATGGACATACTAAAGTATACCTTGTTCCTATAGGCTCAGGAATTTTGGTATCACATTATTGTACTAAATATGGTTATTCACTTAAAGAAGCATTTTCAAGTCTGTATTAATATTTACACATAGAATTAAAATCTGTTTTCAAAAGGAAAATTGAATCTGATCTACAGATCAGATCATTTATACATAAGCAATATATATAATTAAGTACTACCAATTGATAAGCTACACTCTAGCTTTTAAAAACTGACTTTGAATTACTAACTGAAGAAACTATTACAATGCATATAATAAAATCTGCTACAAGAAATAGGAGGGCTAGTTGTGGTCTCAGAGGTACACTTGAGCCTTCTGAAAATATTAAGTTATACATAATAATTATTCATAAGTCAGTTAACATTAATCATCAATGAAATTAAACCTGCCAAAACTTTCTAGGAATAAGAAAGATCACAGTACCATTCAGAGAATAATAATATAAAAAAGCCAAAACAGTTGTGGAATAATCTTGAGTTTGAGTACACACAGTAAGGATTTCTACCCCCAAAACTTAAGTAGATACTTCAGAGTGCATGATTCAAACAAAGAATGTATTTAACTAATGTCTATCTGCTTTAAGCATTATATAAAATATCTGAAGCCAAACTATTCTATTACATTTCTGTGCGAAAAGGAGCAACATAAACAATTCTAGGTTAGCATTTGCTATTACAATTTCAAGAAACATGTTAAGTCCAAAAAATTGTTTGCAATTAGGTAAATATGGCAACAAACTACGGTAAAGTCAGCAGAAACAAAAAGGTATATAAAGTTAAAAAAATTAACTTTCATTATCCTTAAGTTTAGTTTCATAAAACTGATTTTCAAGTGATATTCAAGGACATTATAAAAAAGCCTGTAGTCCAAGACTTTTTGACAATGCAATCTCCTTTAATATTTGATGTCAACCAAAAGAATACAATTTCATAGTTATTCTTCCACATATATCCTTAAAATTTCTTGTAGAGATATCCATGAATGAGTTCCATTCTTCTGCACTTATGACAATCTGTCATCATTTTGTTTAGGTCTACTCGTACTATTCACAATTGTTCCTTAGAAGTTAAAAACATTTACATTTATAATATATTAATGTATTATTTAGGAAATTATATATCCTATTAAGAGTTGTATACCCTCACTCCTCAGACTATTTAATGAAATTTTTATTATGAAATGCTGATTTAGAGTTATTGAACTGAGTTTACTGGAGGTAATTTTACATGCCTTGGACTTGTGGGAACCGCCCCAATTTTCATCCACAAACTTCAAGAATAGCTCCTGCATATAGCTGCAAAAGGAAAAACAGAAATTTAAAAGTTGGTATAAATTAAAAGATGTATTTATAATACAAATAAAAATTTCACAGCATAAACATTGCCATTAAACAGCTATGTAAATCATACAGATGCCTGAGTTGAACAGAAAGATTTAGTTCCAAATAAAAAAGGGAATGCAGACCCAAGGATATTAAATAGTAAAGGAGCCCTACTTAGAATATAAAAGGAGATATGAAGACTTGACAATGAACTAGAATATATAATAGGTGATATCCTAGGGAGTTTTTCACAAAATCTTAAGACATTCTATAGCTTTTAAAAATTTTCTTAGGATGCTATGGAGAATAATATACTTAATGAGAATTCTGGATAATATTTAAATGAACTGGTCAATGTTTTAAGATTAAAGAGAACAAAAATCCTTATCTTTAAAAAAGTAATTTTATTAAGTATTATGTAAAAACGTTACAGGAAAACTAGTAAAATTTTATAAAGAACTTAAATGTTAATATTTTCTTACTAAAATTCAGTTGAAATGGATTCAGTAGGTAAATATCTTTTCTAGCTACAGACATGTACATTCTTTTCATAGTAATGCAAATATTTTATTGCAATGAATTCAGATGAAATTATTTCAAGGATAAAGATCACTTTTTTTGATATGGAGCCTGCCCATTCTTTTTATAGTAATTTGGAAATGCTGTCACATTCAGAGAAGGCAGCCATTTGTAAGAACATACTATATCTTATTACATTTCTTCTTACTTCTAGACTACCACATTTATCTTTTATTCTAGGTCCAGATGGATTTCAATTTTTAAGCTCTAAAATAATATAAAAATCACATGTACTATTCACGTTTATTTTAGATACTTTGGAAAGTATAGAAAAGCACAAAATAGAAATTAAAGTTACCTCCATTCCATTTATTCAAAAGAAAATAGCCTATTTTTTTTTTAGATATGTTTATTTATTCATATAGAACTGGGGTATAAGCCAGAGGTGCAGGGGCAGTGATAGGATTCACCAGAGTCAGAGTGGGCAGCAGAACAGGCAGACGGACGAAGTACACTGCTGAGGGGATCAGCGGGTGAGGCAGGAGAGGTCTGCTGTGCCAGGTAGATCACCTCTGGGGGAGGGATCAAACTAGGCTGCTGCTTGTCTTGCTTGCAGCTACGCACTAACC